GGTGAGGTCTGCATCTACAGAGTTCTAAGCTCTCACCACTGCAAATGATCTCATCCAGCCCCATCGATCCTAGATTGGGGGAGCAGGGAGAGGGGGTGCCCACTAGACAGATGTGGAAATGGAGGCTTGGAGAGCGGGAAGCACTTGCCCAAATTGGGGGACTCTGAGACCTCAACCCAAATCCAAGGAGCCATAGAGCTGTCACCACCTCCTGGTTGCCACCGTGGGTTGAGCCATGAGCAGATGTCAGGTGCAGGAAGACCAGAAAGGTTCCAACAGGGAGAGGTGTGCAGTGGCAGGGCAGCTGGGGAAGCTCTGAGGGCCATCTCTCTGCTCAGGAGCAATCAATATTATTAATGTCGCTGTCTGTTCTCCATGTTACCGATCCATCAACATCCTGGCTAAGTGCCATCTTTGACCAAAGACAGAAGGGATTCGCCTGTCTAGAAGGCCGAAGGATGCTCACCTGCCTCTAGTCCTTCTCTTATCACTTCAGGCAGGGGAGGACGCAGATGCTTTGTGAGGACCCGTGGGCCCACCAGGCTGAGCTGGCAGGTGTCTAGGTGGCCAGTGCACAGCGGAACCCCCGCATCTCTCAATCAACAACACCCCGGAGGAGAATTCCCCAGCAAGTTCTGGGCCATGGAGCCTAGAAAGAAAGCGCTGGCTTCTAGTCATTCAAATAACTAATTTGAATAGAGAAGAAACTGAGATGGAGAGATTAGAGAGGGAATAGGTTGAGGAGATAGGAATGAGAGAGACCGTCTGGTTACCTGACGTTTACAGGGTCATCACAGGGCCATTCAAATGGACTATTTGAATCTCATTTGACTAGTGGGGTGGAGAGAGACAGTGCTATCAGGGGATCGCCCCGCACTGATCCCAATTCCTGATCCCAAAGCAAGTTAGCACAGAGCCGGTGTCCGAGGTAATGACTGACACTTGCGCTACAGAGACCTTACCGAGTCCTTGCAAATCGCCCGCGAGGCCAGAGGCAGGCAGGAGATCCATGTTTCATGTGGGGAAACTGAGGTTGGAAACCAAGGGCCAAGGGACGCAGAGCTGGAAAGCCCAGCTTCCGGGAGCAGGAGTCTGAAGACAGATCCCCAGGGTGTCTTAGACCCAGACACTTCCCTCCTCCTCAGGGGGACAGAGGCCTATCTGGAGGAGAGAACAGAAGGTGTAGCTCTCCTGTGTCAGCAAATTTTTTAAAAAGTCTAATTGTTTCAGTGTTTGATATTTGCCAAGCCCCGTGGTGCAGGGTCCAAGGCGGGCACCCCTCTGCAGGGCCAGGGGCATGCTGCCTCCTTTCCTTGGCACCGGGCTGGGCACAGCTTTGGCTGCTTCTCCAACCCCCGGCTCGGGTGCCCTGAGAGTGAAAGCATTCC